ATATTGTTTAAAGAAAAATTTATTAAGTGAACTTCCAGCTCCTGAACTTTGTCAATAACATGGTACTCTATTCCAAGAGATCTTATTTTCTTTCATATTTCGACACAAGAGAATATATACATCTCAAAACTTTATTTGAATGAGTTAATTGTACTTGTACTCGGCTAGCCAGACATTTACAATGATTTTTCAGGCGCTATTACAATAATTAGTAGTGAAACACTTATACTTTGATAAAAATTAAAAATAATGAATGGTGCAAGTAACAGGTATAGACTGATTGATTTATTTCATTCAAGGTAGCCAACGTGTGTATGATGAATAGTTTTCTGGGCGGCAAATTTTTAAGCTACGGCTGGAATGTGCTCAGCTTTGCCAATATGAGTCAGGAAGAACGCATGGGGGTGCACGATCCTATGGTCACAGTCTTCCCACGGCTGACTAAATGCACGTTCTACAAGTGCGGCCAATCAGGCACTATACAGAATTTCGAAACAATCTGCGTCTTAGCTATCAACGTTGTCAATGAAAAGATTTTTCTTTTTCTCTGGTTTTGGTTCATGATACTCGCTGTCGCGTCTGCGGTGGCGCTCATCTATAGATTCATCTTTATATTGTTTCCCGGCTTTCGGAAGATGATTCTCAAACACAAAAAAGGGTTCAATTCTAATACCAATGCTGACATTGTGGTCAATAAAATTGGGGTAAGTTACCAACTATGTGATTCTTATCTATTAAACTATTGTACAAAATATCTTAGAGATTACCTTTTTTCTTCCTTCTTTTATTTTTCCAATAATACTTGAGCAAAATAACTTTTTTTTCTTTATTTTATCTTATGCAAGTCTTTGCGCTTAGACTAGACTTCAATCCAGTTTTTTACGTACTTTGGCTAATCATACAAGTTGAAATATCAGTCAACCAAGTCACTCAATCCATACAAAAATCTAAACTATTTTATGTAAGGCACGACTTTTACATTTACATTAGAGCAAAAAATAAAATCATAATATTCATACAAGACGTAGCTTAATTTATGATCTCTGGTAATAATAACTATTTTTTTTTACCCTGCATACTTTTTTAGCAATAAAAATAATCTTTATCAATGAAACACTCAAATAATCTAAAACAATAGTGAAAAATTTTTTCCAAACAAAAAATATATAAAAAAGTGTTTGATCAAACAATTTATTGAGGTGAAAATGCATAGCCATCGTTTATTATTTTTTACCATTTTACTAAAATATTTTATACACAAGAGAGAAGAACATAGATCTAATATTTTTATTTTTATTGTTATTAACTTCTAGGTAAGTGATTTCTTCATACTTCATCTGGTGAGTCAGAACATCAACTTTATTTTTTTCAATGAAGTATTGGAAAAATTAGTCGACCACTTGAAAGGTTAAATTTGGAATTTTCACTCGAGGGCCCTTAATACTCAATACTGTCGAATATGCCTCACAACAAGAAGTTTTTGGAAAAAATATATGGACGTGCAAAGAAGTAATAATCTAAAGAAAAGGTTGAAAACTTTCCAACAGGAACCAATATTGGCTTTTTACAAAGGGTAATTTGTTACCGTTTAAAACTTGAAACTTCATGTTTATTTATAAAAAATATATGTACATTTATTTATAATGGAGCCATATAAGTAATGTTACGATTAGCAGTAGGAAATAGTAATTCAAAATGCATAAGATACAAGTAGCGAGCCCTCGTGTAGCTTATAACACGGCATTTTTTTATACGGAGAGTAAGAAACTCATCTACAGTACTACCTCATACATTGCTGTTAGCTAGGGAGGAAATATTAAGTTTTGTAATAGCAGTATCAAAAAATATTAAGATTACCAGTAGTTAGTATAGTAAAAATAGTGTTCGACACATGTACACCATCCAACTGGGGCTATCTCAGTCCATCAGACCCAGGCATAACCCCGGACTTTTTAATTCTTAAGAAATAATAAACATTGTAAAATTTTATCGTTTGTTCTGTGTAATACAGATAGATGTTTGTTTCATAAAACACGTTTCTAACATTTTTAGCAGAACTTTTTTTATTTCCACAAAGCTTCCTTAAGATAATATCATTTCGTTAAGTATACAAATTTTCGTTTTTAATTTATGATGTCCCATTGAGGTTGAAAAATATACATTTATCTTTGAATGGTGTCAATTAATTTGGTTTGCTCAAAGAAAAATTAAATTTCCTCATAACTTGAAAAAAAGTATAATTCATCTTTAGAAAAATTGAAATAATCTATTTTCAATAAAGCATTCCGGATTTGAAAGTAAAACTGTAAACTTACAAATAGTTAATGATGAGTAAATTACTCATATAAATACTCAATGGACATTATTGAAAATTAAAAATAATTTCGTGTATTTTTTTCGTAAGATGAATTTTTAAGACTAAGGGGTTCGGAAGCATAAGGAGGTTTTTAACATCAGATGACGGGGTAACGCGTGCTGAAAACATACCATAAATTTTGTGTTTTTTAATTGTTTTGTTTGAACTATTTGGGTACCAAATCGATAAATTCACCTTTAAAGTTTTAATGAATCTGCTCAACGTATTGGTAATCAGAGGGTAACCCGGAGGGTTACTTCTAACAACTACATAGTCTAGATTTATCTCTGAACGTATTTTGATGTTTTTTTGTTTCGTGTGCATGTACCTGTACATTAAAATAAAAAATTAATGACAAAAGCTATTAGATATTTTTATAAATCTGTTTCTTATCGTAGCGCAACGGGTGCCCAGCCCAGTGCAAACAAGCAATTATAGATATATATGCACCATATATGCTATACCCGGTCATCTGGTGCACCTCCTATATGGAAAGTTACTCCCTTGAGTGTATATAGTTGTATGGCGCTGTATATATGTATAGAGCTGGCCTGGCAAGTTGAAAGAGCATCGGGGGATATAAAACGTACATGGGTTGTTTCACGAAAATCTTACCATTCTATAATCAAACCATTTGAAACAATTGCTCGTTTGTATATTATAAAAACTTGTTGTTAATAGATATTTCAAATAAAAACCATAAATTGCTTTAGTGAAACATGTCATTGGTGGTAAAAAGACTAATAAATGTTTTCGAGCGAGTGTACCCCATGTTCTGGGTTTTTTTAACAAGACAAGAAACTCAGGCCAAAAAGTTCTTTGTCTATTGGTACTCTGTTCAATTAAAAAAAATCATGAAAAAAATGTGTTTCGTACTAAATTTTAGAAATCTCAATCCATTGATGAAACAATGCATTTTTTGTGAAGTGGTCCATGTACAGTAAGAGGAAGGAATGAGGCTTGTGAGTGCATAGCTTGGTTTATAATGTATTGGACGTATGCGTGTTAATTCCACGTGTTATACTGTATTCTATACAAGTAGTGCATACACACGTAAGGGCATACATCGACGTTTTGACGTAGCGAATGGAGTAGAAGTGTTGGTAAGGCGAGAGAGAGAGGAGAGCACACATTGTGAGCACCAGCACTGATCGAGTAAGGTGGAAAAAGGATAGTTAGTGCTGAAACGCAAAGGTTGCTGTTGTAGTGCAAGTTTTACCTGTGGTCACGAAATTAAGGCTAGTCTCCAATTGAAACATCGTACCTATTGGGAAGGAAAAATTTAAGAAAGTCATCAACCCATTTCAATTTGAATAAGCATGATGCTTAGGGTAGTTTTTTTTTACAAATTGAATGAAATAATATTATGGTACTGTCATGACTGTTACTAAATGTTCATCCACTTTTAGTATTAACGAATCAAATTAAAGTTTGTGTTTTCCAACTCTAACATCTAGAATTCCAGTCAAAGTATAAAAAAAGCGCTAAAAACATTATTACAACTGCCTGTATCACGTGCGGACCTCTGAATAAAAAAAAGATGAAGAAAACATCATAAGTCTACAAATGGTATTCTTTACTATATACATATATCTTTTTTTTTGTACTATATATTCATGAATTTGAGTTTCAAAGTTGGATGTAGTATTTTTAAATTACTCAAAAACCACCCCCACAGAACTTTTTTTTCTAGAAAAACTAAAAGAAACCTACCATCCGAAAATATGAGTATAAAATTTTTTCTCTTAAAAAAGAAAGAAAGAAAACACACATTAGCACTCTAACTACGAAATTTCACACCTCGCCGGTCGTCCTTGTAAACCTTGCGTTCAAGATAATCCGCTACACAGCTTAGCCTCGGGAAAAAAAAATGAAAGAAAAATATACCGTAGAAAATTAAAATTCCAGAATGTCCCCGAAAATCACGAGACCCCTCTGCTTACCGATCAATCGATTGACATAAAAGTCCAACTCGACCCATCGTATGAAAAAATCTAACGCACATGTGTCCAGCAAGTGAGTATATTATACTTATACGAAGCGAAAACGTACAAGAAAAACGGGCCGATGAGAAAAAAAAAAAAAAAAAAAAAACAGGTTAATAAGAAAAGTCTAGAGAGAGAGACAGAGAGAGAGCGGGGGCAGCAAGTAATAAGCCGAGAGAGAAAAGGCCCAAAAGAGAGACAGCCCCCATGTACACCTCTATATATAATGCTGCCTGGAAGTAGCAGGATTGCAACAGTATGTGTGTAGAGAGAGAGAGAGAGAGAGTAACCTTTGTGGTGGTACCATACATTACAATACCAAACGCGAGTGTAGAGAAGGAGCGTGGTATATATAGGTAGGGGTAACGCAGGGGCAGGACGCCGTTCTCGTGCTCGCAAGAGTGCAGAGAGCGCTTCGGTATATAGAATACATACCGGTCCGCAGAGAGACGCTCGGGGCCCGTAAAACCAAGCACCACGTATATATAATGTATACATACATATTGTACTCCCTGCAACCGAGCACACTACACGGCACCCTCCTCGCCCCGTGCACGCTGAGAGAGAGAGAGAGAGAGAGAAAAAGAGACAGAGCCGAGAGAGCGCGATCCAAGCGGGGCTGTGTACGAGGCCAGTCGCTCTCCGGGCCCCGCGCCAGCTCGCACGGGCTTGTATATTCTCTCTCAGCCCTCTTTCCTTCTTGGACCCAGCTCTCGCTACTCCCTTCGTGTTCTAGTCTCTCTTTTGTTAACGAACGCCCTCTTGTGCCTACGCGTACACATATATACGTGACAGCCCGCGTTCCGATGCATGGATTAAACATCAAAAACGAGGATAATTGACGAAATCGCAAAGTTATATAAAAAAATAAAATAAAATAAAAACCCACACATTGTGTTCGTTTTTGTTCAGTGCTAATGTACGCGTGTAACAAGAGAACGGCAGTGCAACAGCCGATTGAGTGAAACAAAAAGAAGAGGAGCAGGAGAGGAGGAGGAGGAGGCCCCTCTTCCCTCGCTGGCAAGGAGGAGCACCGGCTACAGGGTCCTGCGTTCGAGTGACTTTTTGCGCGTGGCTCGAAAGACAAAAAAAAAAGGTAGGGATCGGTAAGGAGATCGGTAATGGCTAGCTCGCGCGTTTCCGAGTGAAGAAATGCGACAAAGAGAACTGCTTTTTTTCACGCTCGCCGCTGACACACTGCAGCGCGATTTGCACTATACTCTCTTTTTTTCCTTTTTTTTTTTTTTTTTTTCGCGAAAAGACGCGAGGGAGAGATGCTTCGTCGAGGTTTTAAAACACAGCTAGCGCGCCGTCCTTTGGCTCCCCTTCTTCCTCTCTTCTTCTCCCTTTTTTTTTTTCCTCCAGTTCGGGTCCAGCAAACGAGAAGAAAGAGCCTCCGAAAACTTAGCTCCCGTCCTTCCGCCGATTCCTCGTGTGATTTTCGGTACCCCCCGCTGCTGTTACATCGAAGGAAAACAATGAAGTTGCCGATATTTCTTTTGCGATACAGTTGCCCTAACCTTCCCCAAAATTATATATACATAATACATGAAACAAAATTTTAAAAAAAGGTACAGCACACGCGTTTAATCGTTCAAAGTGACATTACTAACGTGCGTGTAATACGTAAGTATAGGCAGCCCAAAGTGCAGCGTCGGTAGCTAATGCATGCGCGTCCCTCTCTTTCGTCCCATTCATCGCCAGCAGAGAAAGCCGAGCTTCTGTGCTCCGCTACCGGCTGTAAAAAAATGCCACCACACGCGCTTGTGTTGCATATACATACACTTTTGAGGTGCAGGGACGCTCGCAAGCAAGCAGATGCTCGATGAGCAACACACGTATATACATGCCTACATTAAGGAAGGACGATGTCCGCTGGAAAGGATGTAATGACTGGCCTTGTGTGAGTGTGTGTGTGCGAGGGCTCCTTTGGAATTTCAAAAGGGTGGTGGGTATAGTTTGCGGGATTTTTCAGAGATGGTTCGTACAGGCGTATTTATGATGCAACTGGACACGAGTCGTTGGTTAATTATTTTGTACAAATGGTGTGTGACGATAAACAAAATCGTCGATTTTTACTTTTTTTGGTGGGACACTACGTTGGTGGTTTGGGAAGGTCAATTTTTTTAAATCAAAAGGATAAATTTTACTCGTGATTTTATTTTGAAATTTTGCATTCAGCGTGAGACGCGCAATCGTTTGGAGATCGGCACCTTACGGAACCACAACAAAACTATGAAAAAAAGTTAAGTATTTCAGGTATCAACACCCAGGGTACGAGAGTTTTTTTCCTAGCGTTGGAAAATCGGTATCGGTCCACACAAAAAATTGACGATCGCGAGGAAATTTCGTGGTTTCTTTCGACACTTGCTTGTGGAAGAAAAGGCTTCGTCTCTTAGAAAAGCACGACGCACTTGTGAGCGCTGCGTCCAACTTTAAAAATTCGTAGAATCTCAGAACAAAAACCCTCCACTGTACTCGTACACAGCAAGAGCACGAGAGAGGGAAAGAAAATATTCATGTAGCCGCACGCACTTTGCCATCACTATACATTACCAGTCTCACAATTATAAAAGCATAATAACAAGCGAAGCTTAGCAGCGTGCAATTCCCTCCCGGCACGGGCAAGACAATGAACTGTACGAGGTTTCACAACAGTCCTCGTCAACGCACTTTGTATCAATAACAGCGGCAGTGCGTCGAGGGAATTTCCCGAGCCGCTCTTTTCCTCGGACACGGCCCCTTTTTCCGCGCCGTACGTGCCTGCACGCGGCCGTCAGGGACTATACGGTACACACAGTCACTCGAAAGTTTCCCTGCGGACCGTAACAACATTTTCGAGGTACGATCATTCAAGTAGGGTGCCTCGACGGACGGGGAGGCCAAGTGTTGTGAAAAACTCGAATAGTGTCCATAAATCACTGATAGGTAGCTTGGAAAACGACCATGAAAATAAAAACGTTACCGAAATAGTCAATGGTACTTCGCACCAACTTCATCCAAAGAATGATTCGTTTGTAACGTCTTTAATTAGCCAAAAGTACGTGTTGGGGATACTTGTGAATCAAGATTTTTTTTCTTATGGTTGAGGAGCTTACGTTAACTAAACTTCATGTCTTTAGGAAAAGAAATTGAGCAGCTATTTGGTGAAAACAATGCGTGTTACCGAAAATATGAGCCACAGAGTTCAAAATACTTTGTATCCATACAGAGATACTTGATCCTCATAAACCCAACATCCGTTGGTTTTACCATAAAAAAAAATAAATAGCTAGTCCTGTGAGTAAAAAATTACACTTAAAAAAAGGCTCTGGACGATGAAATGATATTACCAGATTACCATTCTAGGACAATGATGGATTTATAATTTTTTTTTTTTCCTCTCAGTGCGGCCATCTCTTCGTTTGGTTTAACGCGCATGAATCAAGATCCCAAGCACCACCAACCGAATGAATACGTGTCATACATGTTTGACGGCTCGCGCGCGTGTACCGTTAAGTCATCCCGTTACTTCTCCACGAAAACGCCGAAACAGTACGTGTCTTTTTGTTTTTTTTTTTTTTTTTTTTTTTCCACATTCGATCGCCAATCGTTTTCCGACACCCACACACGGCTACAATAAACCAAAAATCGGCACCACACATTATCCCAAAAGCTTGAACCTCGACAAAGTCAATCCCACGTACGCCGTAGTAAAAGTAAGTGCAGCCATCAGCTGGGGAGAGTCCTCGAAAGAGCATCCCTCGGCCGGAGCCGTTTCGAATTCACTTAGAAGCCCCCGGCCCCCGAGGGAGTCGTCACCGAGCCAAAGGTGCACTTTATGCATACGAGTGGAAAGAGAGAGAGAGATGGGGATCGGGAGAGCAAAGGAGAAGCCGATAATTTCCTTCGCTGGCCCTCTCGATTTCACGTTCCCACGCTTACGTATACATATATATTATATACCTATACAATGCACGTATAGCCGAGCTCCGTACTCTGCCCTCTCGCTTTGCGATCCAATGAAGGAACATCACCTAAGGCCCATCGTCTTTTCTCTCTCTCTCTCTCTCGATCTGCGTGTGGGTGTACGTGTACACATGTATGTTCATGTGTCTCTCGGTGGGAGCCACGGACTGGACTTTGAGAGAAAATGGCGATGGTACAACCGTACGGGTAGTTTTGCCGTGGTGTTCGACAAAGAGTCATAGACGTACCATTATCGTGTTTCCGGGAAAAAGTTGCGTGCATGTATATGGCGAGGAAAAAAAATCGGTGGGAAGGGAGAATAAGCGTATACCCGTCGTCTCGACCGTAACTCGAGCGAGTCAAGTGGCGTCGATCGGTATATCCGATCGATTCCATTGGAACAGTAATGTATATACCGCATATTATGTTAACGCGCAAGGATTGGCGCGCAAGTCGAATTCCAGGGGATATTGAGCCGAGGATGATGAATAAGACACGTCGTGTGCTTTCGGCTGATGTATGAAACCAGACGACGTCGATTATCGGGCCAATTGCTATTGATGTTTTTGGCCTCCTTTGAGGTCTCGTGCTCGCGCGCTTCGCCGAGCGACCGTATACTAAGCCCGATTGCTCTAAATTCAGAGGCGCACATTGTTGCGCTCATCGTCTGTCTCTACTTGAATTTCGTTGCTTATTAACCGTGCGTTTACTGCCTTGACGGGTGCTTCGAGGCTCGTGTCCGAGTTTTACAATGGGGGACACGATGATTTTTGTGTTTACACGTTGAAGGGAAAAAAAAATTACTATCAATCACTAGGTGTTGATTAGAGAGAGGGAGAAATGGCAAAGAGATTCTTCGTTGATTTCATCACTTGTTTTTTTTTCCTCTGCGCTCGTACACCGTTCGTCTGTTAAATCGGTACTAAGCATTTTAACCAGTGGTGACTGTAATCATCATCAGCAATCGTAATTACGTCGTTACACTATGATGGTGAGGAGTTCTTGAAATTTTCATGATTATATTCATGGATGTTACCATCCTGATCACCTATGCGAGCATCTTATGTAGAAACTGTGTTTCATAACAATCCGAGAAGCTGAGCTCTCTTAAAGTCTTTAGAAAAGACTAAAAAAGTCTCGAAAGGACTTTGGACTTTTTTCGGTGGATCGAGAGTGTCCAGCCCCTCGCAATAATCTTTGTGTCGTCAATTTTTAAAATCGATGAAATAACAAGGTATATGCATGCTCAAAGGTTTTGGGTAAACAGTTGATGCCGTGATGTTCCAATCCGTGGAAAAAATCATCCTAAATCACTATACCGCTTTCGTTGAAGTTTGAATGAACGAAATCTCAAAAATTGGGAATCAGCAGAAGAAGAAGCACCATTTTAATGTACCAAATTGAGTATTTATCATTCGTTATAGATGTCCCGATGAATGAAGAACCCCATACCGGTTGTGCTCGATTGCTCGTCAAATCGAGCGCGAAACCCCTATTGGAATCGCTTTAACAACTACCTCTCCGGGTACCTCCCGATAAAGAACGCGTTTACGATCAATAACACGGATAAGCATGTAATACACGCGGGTAAACAAACAATCGAGCAAACATGACCGACGAGCGTTGAAAATCAACTGCATAGCACCTGATAACAGCAACGAGTTTTTTTATTGGACAATAGGTATAGGTACGTGTATACATGTATGCGCCATCGTGCTAAAAACCGATGAATGGACGTGCAGCGTAACACGGGCGCGTCAGGAGCGAAGTCAACCGGAGCCAAGGTCGGTTATATGGTGATGGTCAGAGGGGGACTGCTCTCGGACGTCACGTGTATCCGCGACGCGGTTGAATAATCGGCGGAAGGTGACGATCGCTTCCGCCCGAGACGCCGGTTATTGTTTTTGACTCTTGGAGGGACTTTGTACCCTACAAGCTTGTTAGGGGCCACATGTGTAACGAAGATCCGAGTTACAGAGCTATATGCGGAAATTTTGTTTTCTCCCAAACAAACGATTAGGGAGCTTTATCCTGATTTTGATGCTTTGAGGAAACGACAGTTGTGACAAATGCTTCGTGGTTTTTTTTTTTTTTTTTTTCAACGCAAAGCTCAAGGTCTTCGAAAGCACAGTTTTTCAATTTTTCACA